GGACCCATCCAAGGATCACATCGTGGGGGACTTGAGTGGGACTGAGGCGTGTCCAACACAACAGCCTCCACCCTGGTGGGAGCTGCCCCTCGATGAGGCCGAGCTCTGAGCATCTCTTTTCTGTCTGTGAAATGGTACTAATCGTGGTTTCCTCGATGAAGGGTTTAAAAAGATCTCAAGTGGACAAACGTTTTGAACATGAGCAAGAAAGAGGCATTTTGAAAGCTAATGAGAGTAAAGACTGATTTCTTGAGTGGTAACTGTGTTTTTGGTCTTACATTACCTATATGTATTTTTAATTGTCGTAAAACACACATAACACAAAATTTACCATTTTAACCATTTTAAGATGTGAGTTCAGTGGCATTAAGTACAGTCACAGTGTTGTGCAGCTGCCACCATGATCTGGTTCCAGAACTTTTTTACGACCCCAAAAAGAAACCCCGTACCTATTAGCAGACACTCCCCAAACCTGGCCCCCACCAGTCTGCTTTCTGTCCCTATGGATTTGCCTCTTCTGAACATTTCATATAAACTAGAGGCACGATGCACGAAATTCGTGCAAGGGGCTCAGCCCTCGCAGTCCCAGCTGCCTAGGCCCTCGAAGCCCTGAGAGTGGCCTCATGGCCCCACCCACTGGTCGTTTCAGAAGGTCGTTCCAGAAGGTCATTTGGCCGTCTGGTCTAATTAGCATATTAGCTCTTTATTATATAGGATGGGATGTGTCCTTTTGTGTCTGGCTCCTGCAGTTTAGCATAATGTTTTCAAGGTTCATCCATGTTGCAGCCTGTATCAGTACTTCATTCCTTTTTATGGCTGAGTAATATTTGTGTACAACAGACCACATTTTGTTTATCCATTCAACCATTGATGGACGTTTGGGTTATTGGTATTAAATATTTACCAATTACATACTAACCACATCCACATGTTTATACTGCTTGTAGGAGGACCCAAGAGGACTGGCACTGGCAGGATTTTATTTATTATTATCATTTTCTCTATGATATCTTTATTTATTTTTAATATATTTTTATTGATTTCAGAGAGGAAGGGAGAGGGAGAAAGAGATGGAAACATCAATGAAGAGAGAGAATCATTGATTGGCTGC